TTCGGAGGAAATGCGCATCCAACTTAAGGCATAAAAAGCAAACCTTGACAGTGGCTGTAATAACATGGCAAGCAATCCTCGATATGCATGATCCAAGCACAAGTCTGTTGTATCCCTTTTCAGAGGCAACCTTCAAAACAAAACAAAACAAAACATTCAGCAAGAATTCACTATGATGCCCTTCACCGTATTTTTCAACTGAAATTTATATAAAATTCGCAACCTTTTGCAATGCCAACATCCGCATGTGAAGTAAAAGATCTTCTTTCCCAGTAGCATCAGGAACAGCATCTAACAACTGATTTAATCTATCCCTTCCATCACCAGAATCTGAAGAGTATACACTTTCAATTGGTACAACATGCAGTTCTTTTGTTGGTGGAGCTAGGTCTTCCACGATCAATCTAATATCTTCAATTGCGTTTTCTACTTCACCAGACGGAACAGAATAAACAGAAGTCTCATCAACAAATGCAACTCCAACCCCAAAAACTGGCAACGATCTATCCCTACTGGCATCGAAATTCTTCTGTGCTTTATTATGCATCTCATGTACAAACTGCAAAGCAACCCTGGAACCAAAATAACATTTTCCAAATTTCAACAAATCCGTAACGAAAAATACATCTTTCAAATTCTTAAAAGATTCATTTTTTTTTTTTAAATCATCTTACGCACAAAATTTCTTACTACAAGAAGCAAAATTACCATTAAAACAGAATCGATGAACGTTTAAGATTGATCCAGATAGAGAAAGAGAAGGACCTGGAAGAAGGGCCACCGGAGAAGGCAACGAGGACATTGTCAGTAGGAGAAATCATGGCGTTGGAGGTGACAGCGAACCTGAACTTCCCGAAGAGATTGCCGCGGAAGCAATCGGCGCAGAAGCGCGCTTCGTCGCCGCCGTCGGTGTTGGAAGAGATGGGTTGATTGGCCTTGCACTTGAGGCACAAACTACTGTTGCTGTTGTTGTTTCTAGTGTTTGTAGAAATTGATTTGTAATTGTTGTTGTCTTTGACATCTTCATCTTCTTCTTGTTGGGTTTTGTAGCAATTTGATTCGCAACCTGAAGCACTGCACGCCATGTTCTCTCTCTCTCCTCTCTCTCTCTCTCTCTGCCTGAGCTGAGCTCGAGAGCTTAGTAGGGTTTAAAGATTTTGTAGACTTAATTACACTTGAGACCCTCTAGTTTAGACTCGGTAACATATTTGTCACTCTATTTTATACATTTGCAGTTTAGTACCTTAAGTTACGGATTCCTACCCTAAAAGTCCCTTTATCAGTATAACTGTCAAGTAATATTAACTTTATTTTTATTACATTCGCACGTAGGGGTGGGTTCGGTTCAAATTGGTTCCCTTTTTTTGCCAAAACCGAAATCAAATCGAATTTTCAGTTCGGTTCAATTTGGTTTAAATTTTTTCTGTTTGATTCGGTTTAAATTTTTTCGATTTTTGTTCAGTTCGGTTTAATTTTGATTTGGTTTTTTAGGTCCAGTTTCAGATTTTTTTTATAGTCGTAAACAACGCAAAATCAACCCCTTCATGTAGAGGTTTTAATTTGAAATGGGCAGTCATGATTGAGCTTAAATGTAACAATTTTTTGAAGATTTCCAACTGTTTTTTGGTGGATAAAATTCGCTTTGGCTAATAAGAATAACTAACAAAGAAGAATAAAATTACAATATTCCTCAAATGAACATAAATATTCATCATCACGGTTGTTGACAAATTTGTAAAAGGTGGGTGTTATTTCAAGATCCATCTCAAGAAAGATTTGGTCCTACGGAAGTGTTTCCTCAAATGCAGTTGGGGATGAACAAGGATCTCCTACAATTCAAGAAACAAGGGTAGAAAATCCGTCTCAGGGTGAATCTCCCATACCTAGGGCTACGGGACGAAACAAGGTCCGAAAATTGAAGGAAAAGGGCAAGGCAAATGATGATTTAGCCTTTCAACAGGAAATGGCATCCTCATTGCAATTAATGGCGGAACAAAATGCCTTTGCCGCGGAAGAAAGGAACCGTAGGCACGAAGCACAGGCAAAACAAATATAAGAAGAGATGGATGATAGGAACATGCAAGGGAACACTTTGGATTACACTCCAATGAGTAAGGAATATTTTGATAGGAAAAAAGGGAAATTATGGCCCGACCGGAGTTGTTTACATCTGACTATACTCCTACAATGGCGGATGAAGATGATGATTATAGTCTTTAAATTGAAGTTGTTGTAGTTTTTAAATTTAAGTTGTAATTTTTAAATTTAAGTTGTTGTAGTCTTTAAATTTAAGTTGTAGTTTTTAAATTGAAGTAGTTGAATCTTTAAATTTAAGTTGTTGAATCTTTAAATTGAAGTTGTTGTAGTTTTTAATATTTACGTTGTACTCTTTAAATTAAACAACATTAAACAACACAATCTCCACCTTAGTACTACTTGGGGGAGTTATTCAAACTTAAACAACATTAAACAAAATAAAACTTATTAAGATTATATAAAGATAAGAAATATGAAGGCTTATTCACTTGGCGACAAGTGGCACTCAAAATATGTCAGAAAATCTTATTTTAATATGGTAGTTTAATTTAAGTAACCATATTAATTCAATTAAAATAATAAATTATGTTTGGTATATCCTCGGTTGGAGATGGTTTTTTGTCAAAGGACTATGTTTAGCCTATGACTCTTTGGCCCTCTTGGTTGAAGATGTTAAAAAATAGTATGACACTGTTCATTAAAATATTAATTTCTTGTAAGGCTATAGGGCGAAAGGGAGCCCTTTGGCGCTTATTCGATTGGAGATGGCCTAATTTCCCAGGTTCACGGCCTGGTTTAGCATGTTCATTCATTTTCATAATTAATATATAATATATATGGATATGAAACAAGGTCTAAAATATCGATATTATCCCGATATTTCCATCGAAATTTCCGTGTTTTTGGACTACCGATATTTCCGATATCATCGATATTTTAGACCTTGATAGGAACTCTATGTGGTATTAAGTCACTTATGTATCTTACCATGCAATGTATAAAGTGAAAAATATTGTACTAATTCATTATATATAAATGATTATGGTGTGTTTAAACTTCTTTCATTAATTACTACATATTTTCAACACTCATAATGTTTACCAGCTCGCTATATAATCAACTTAAATCAGTTAAATCCATCATGCAATGCATTTTCTTCCAATTTTTTTGTGATAAACTAATAGATAATTGACTAAATAAACATCTTGCAAAGTTTCAATAAAAATTTCCAAGTTTTTCTTACAATTTCCGTGGTTTTTATTCAATTTTTATAGATATCGATAATATCCCAATATTTCCATCGAAATTTCTGTGTTTTTGGACTACCGATATTTCCGATATCATCGATATTTTATACCTTGGATATGATTAAGGGACAAATAATTTGACCAATATATTTACTCTTTTTTTAGCCTTTAGATTTTATAATATTCAATGGTCTTATTAAAAATTATGTTGAAAATTTTAAACGTTAAGTGACATGGATGATGATGTGGATTATAATTAATAAATAAACAATTATATATTATGAATAAGAATCAACTAATAGATTTAAACTTTAAAAAAATAATAATCAAAACAACGTTGAAATTCAAGAATAGGGGCTGACCACGAATGTAAGAAGGAGATGATAAAATCCATCGTCTTCACTCCATGTTGATTTGATTTGATTGATATAAAATTAAGAATCACACAAGCGTATCAAGCTATCGAACTCGAAACACTAATTCTTCATTCCTGATATCTTTGAGTGATAAATTAGGTTGTGGAAAATGATTTTTTCCCTCATTGGCCAAGCATAAGAACAATCTGAACGGGAAAACATATCTCCTGATAAATGGTAATAACACATGGGTTTCTAGAGTAAAGAGATCAGGAAGGGTTTTTTTTTTTTTTACCAAAGATCAGGAAAAAAAGACCATGAGAAGATCCATGTGCAGTAGTGCAATGGAGGTCTCTTACCCTCCCCCTAACTTTGAAGTTCGAATGCTTACGGTTCTTTCTTATTTTTTCTTCCAGTTTTTATTATTTTTATTTTTAGTTTTATTTATTATTTATATTATTAATTATAATCCACATCATTTAATGTTCAAAACCCTTCGCATCACTCTTAATTAAGACCTTTGGATGTTATAAAATCCAATGGCTAAAAAGAAGTGTAAAAATATTTGTCGTTTGATATATATTGGTTCGGTTTAGGTTCTGTTCGATTTTCGGATCACCAAAATCGAAACCGAACTAATCAATTTCGGTTCAGCTTTCTAAGTTTGGTTTGGTTTTTTTGGGCATTGGTTTTATTTTTTTCCGGTTTTCAAGATTTTGAACCCACCCCTATTTGCACGTACTTGTCCCATCTTTTATTTGCCTGGAGTCATAACAATGAACAATAAATTGATAAATGCAAAAATATTAACAATCTAGTCTCTAGATATAGAAAGAGATGGATTTTGTTTCATGTATAGGTGATCATGTAAGCTCGTTCGAGTATCACTCAAGAAAATAACAACTAAAATAAACTGCATTTTATCCGCTCACTCCACAGCCTTACTTCTCTCTCTTCTCTCTCTTTGGTATCATTTAAAAAAATTACATTTTACACCTTTCAAAGAATCAAATTTGATTAACATTTAACTCTATGCTCTTTTTTCTCTCTCTCCCTAAAAGTTTTATTCGTGGGAAAAATTGAGCTTAAGTACCAAACAGGCTTACTTTCCTTCTACATCCTTAATGTTGTTGAGTTTGGTCAATTATAGGAATAAGTGAATAAGATATTGGGATAATTGAAAAAAAAAAGGCCAATTTTTTTTTTGTAGTCCCTGTGGTGACATGTCACTTTCAATGTGACCATTGTCATGAAAAAGCTATTAATTAAACTTTCGTGGTGAGCTCTATTAACAATTAAGGTCCAAATCCAAAGTTCAGTTAGTCTTTAGTTAAATAAAATCATGTGACTATCATATGTGGATCGGTCAAAATTAAGTTTATTTATTTTGGAAAATAAAAGAACAAAAACATGATTGAATTAAAATAAAATTACAAATAAAGAAACTTGTGAAGATAAAAAAACTCAACAGTCCCCGTATCTCATCTCAGGCTCCCAGCCACCACCATAGCCACTAGTCGACCTCCACCGTCATTAACCATCACCTCAAATCCTGTTAACCTAGTCAAATTGCAGATCAAGCCAAGCCCATTGTGAAAAACATATCCAAAGTGATACAAGAATGAAAATTCAAGTAAGACTACGACTCTAACTCATGATTAAAGATGTGTTGGCATTGAAAAATATACAATGGTTTATTAGAAGTATTAGGATTTCCAAACAAAATTAAATCATACCTAAGAAATTAGGTGCGACTTCACCTTTACCTCTTCTTCTAGCCATTGAAGTGATTTTACGAGTTTAGTTTCACTCTTCGCGTTCAAGCCTTTTTTTTCTTCTATAAAATCTAATTTCAATTAAACCCTAACTCATACTAGATGTCCATAAAATAGGATGTAAATTGGATTGAAATGACGAATTTGACCCTCAATGTGATAGTCATGTGAGTTTATTTAATGGAAGATTAACAGAAGTTTGGATTTCGACCTCAATTGCTAACAAGGCCCACCACGAGAGTTTAATTAAAAGTTTTTTCACCACGAAGGTTACATCGAAAGTGGCGTGTCACCATAGGGATCACGAAAAAAATTTGGCTAAAAAAATATAGATATTGAGATAATGATTTTTTTTTGGGGGGGGGGTTAGTAAAATACATTAGCTTTATGAAACTGGATGCTTATCCAAAGCCCACTCAAGGCTATTGGAAGTGCATAAAAAGAAGTTAAACACACGATTTTAGGGTGTGTTTGTTTAACCGGATTAGGGGGGACTAAACTGGACTAGACTAATTGCTATTGTAGTCCCTTGTTTGGTCTGGACAAGGATTAGGTTTAATAAGCTTAGGTCGGACTCGCTCGGATTATATACCTCTCTAGGTGTTCTTCACGAAGATCCCCAATTTCGGTCGGACTGTTAAGACCGTCTCCTTCTATGTCGTCTTCTCCTCGTCTAAGTCCTAGAGTCCCCTCTTCCGTCTTCCTTCTCTACCAATCTTCCACCTATTCCTCCTCTGACAAGGCCCATAACCTCTACTACCTCCGACCGTCGTGGGCACATATCAATGCAGATGGTTTCGTTGAAACCCAAATCACGAGATCTTTGTGAACCCAGTAGTGGGTGAGGAACATGATTGCGATGGAGGAATCTGAAAAGCCAAGAACGCCGGCATCCACGACGACGATGGAGACGACGAAGCGGCTTGGGATTGCCGCCTAAGATGCTAGGACGCTGGGACCAGCAAAGAAGATGGAGGTAGCAGCCTGAGAGACTATGATTTGCGGAATTATAGTTGGTTTTGAGACACTATTTCGACGACGAGACACTCTGCAATTGTGGAATTGGAGTTGTTTTGATTTGATCTCAAATTTTGGTCTCAAATTGTGGAATTGGTTTTTGAAGAGGAAAGTTTTCAGACAAAAAAATGAAGAGATAATTAATAATAAAATATTAATAAAAAGGGATTAAATAATATAATATTCGAATTTATTAATTATCATGTTTTTAGTCCGACACTGCCATAAACGCTTCACTAAGTTAGTCCAGGTTAGTTTAGTCTAAGCCAGTCCAGCTTAGTCCCTGAAGCTAGTTCAGTCCGAGATAGTCCGGTGCAACAAACGCACCCTTAATGGCCACCAGTATCATGGTCAAGTAGTAAATTGCTTTTGTTTACACGTCAATTGTTGCTCTTTTTTCGGTATTGTCATATGATCTTACGATTTTTAGTTGTTTCAATTACTGAAGCACAGGATAGCTTAAGAGTTTTATTAAACTTAATCTAAATCTTTTCGCTACAAGTGGCCCTTTACCATAATAGTGGAAATGTGTTGAGTCCTTACATGACGACGTGGGTTCAAATCCTATCGGTGGCTAATATAACATCTAATCTAACAAAATCTATTGTTTAACTGAAAAAAAACCCTAAACCCTTTCTTCCTTAATTGTAAAGATTAATAATCTAGATATAGAAAGAGATGTAAGCAAAAAATACAAAAGCTCATAGTGTAACATGAATAAATAACAATTAACTTGGTAGGTGGGCATGAAGGGGCAATCATTTAACAATTTGTAACTTACTGAAAGAATTGGGCCAAATTGTAACATATTGTAAAGGATAAATTACATTTTACCCCTTTTGTGGTCGATTTCAATTCTTTATAACATCATTAAAACATTTCAATTTCATACATTTACTTATTATTTTATTTTAATTTCATACATCCATTAGAAAATCTGTTAAGTAAACCATTAAGTGATGACATGACAAATATGAGATCCACATTTATGCTGATGTGGTTGCCAAATATGTGTCATGTGGCAAAAAATAATATTTTTTATGCATTTAAAATATAATAATATTTACCCTTAAAAAAAATAATAACAAACAAACAAACAAACCCAAAACCCCCGACCCACCTCCATCTCCTCCACTCTCTTCACCTCCCATCCCATCCAAAAACACACCCCATCCCACCCCACCCCCACCTCCACGTCCACCTCCCCCACCCCACCCAAAAACAACGATATGAAAATTCAAAATTAAGAAAAGCTCACTGAATGGAAAGAGAATCTGAATCTCCATAAGGAAAAGGTAGAGGTGATAAATTCATAAACTTTTTGTAAAAAATTTGAACTTTTGAATTCAATTTTTTTTTTCTCACCTTTGGGGCTTAATTTCTGTTTGGCTACAAAGAAAATGGCATTGAGCATGACGCACCAGGCGTTGAGCTGGCCAGATCTATCCATGGCGTGCAGGGCGTTCGCAATGGAGGAGAAATCGCCGATTCTGGAGCACCAGGTGAGGGGTGTGCACGATAAGGGGTGGGGTGGGGGGTTGTGGGGAGGTGAGGGTGGGGGTGGGGTGTGGGGTTGTGGGGGAGGTGGTGGGGTGGGATGGGGTGAGTTTTTGGATGGGAGGGGAGGTGAAGAGAGTGGAGAAGATGGAGGTGGGTCGGGGGTTTTAGGTTTATGGGTTTGTTTGTTTTTTTTAATAGGGTAAATATTATTAATTTTAAATGCATAAAAATTATTATTTTTATCACGTGGCACATATTTGGCAGCCACATCAGCATAAATGTGGGTCCCATATTTGCCATGTCATCACTTAACGCTTTACTTAACAGATTTTCTAATGGATGTATGAAATTGAAATAAATGATAAGTAAATGTATGAAATTGAAATGTTTTAAAGATATTGTAAGAAATTAAAATCGACCGCAAACTTGATGAGGTAAAATATAATTTACCCTATTATAAACTTTAAAGATGCAAAAATGTAATTTACACCAAAATCATCATTGAAACACTAAAAACAACAAAAGTAGCGGGTCGTGGCGGGTACGGGTTATGTAAACCCGTAACCGAACTTCAAACGGGTATACTTAATCCAAACCTAACCCATTTATTTGACCCGTCCACTGCACAGCCTCTCTCTCTCTCTCTCTCTCTCTCTCTCTCTCTTTCTCTGAACTACGAAGCTTCACCCAGGTATGATCACTCTCTGTCTTTCTCTTGAATGCCTAAAACTTCAATTCGATCATAGAAACACATGCAAACTCTCTGTTGCACCACATTCAATCTATTATTTCTGTTTTTTTTTTCTTGGGATTTTAGTTTCATTTTTTCGTGGGATGCTAGAAAGGGAAACGCTTTTGAGATTCTGGTCTTTCTGAAATCAATTTTTCATATATATATATATATTTATATAGTTATATAGTCTTTCTACTGGAAACTGGAAAGGTACAAACAACTAGGGGCTGTGTGTGTTATTTGAATTTTGAAACAACCGATGTTGGTGTTGCATTCATAGTAAGCAACGAATGTGAAATTCTGTCTGGGTCAGGTATTATTTTCGAGAAGGAAACTTACAAATGGTTTTTCATTACCGGGTTTTGTTCCTTTTTGTGAAATTCGAAAACGGGGTTCTTCCTCCCCCCTTCCAATCTTCAATACTGCTAAAGTTCACTGTTTTAATAAACCTTCTTGATTTTACTGTGTTTGTTAATGTTAATATGGGTGTCTCTCGAATATGGAAACAGAAGTTTGTATGGATAATTTGTTGTAGCTTTGTATCGAAAATTCAATGAATGTTTGTTCTTTTTATCTTTGTGGTTGAATTCTTATTTTGGTTTTATGCTGAAAGTATGCATCTTTTGCTTTTGTAAGGCAAGGAGCATAGTTAGGAAACTAGACGAAGAAGAGACAATGGGGCTTCCTGATGGTTCTGGGGATTTGCTGTCCGAAATGGACGGGGATGCTTTCAGACGTCTATTTCCTCTTCAGTTTTATGAGAGCCATTTTGTTAAATCTACACGCCCTGATGGCAGGTCACTAACCGAAGCTAGAGAGACTTCTTCAGCCCTTGGTTAGCTAAAGCGTGCATTAGAATCAATATCATGGATTCTCTATTCCTTACTTTGTTTTAACTTGGTTTATGCAACCCTCAAGTTTATTTAACCATGTAAACTGAACCCTTTCCTGTTTTAATGTAGGTGCAGTTGCATCCGCTGATGGGTCAGCATTAGTAAAGATTGGTTCAACTGTAATTGCTTATCACTATCTAACTATGTGTGTTTGTTTTCGATATTTAAATGAAATATACAGTCGTGTGACTGATGAGGATTTTTGGATTCAGACAATGCTCGCTGCAATAAAAATGGAAGTCATGACCCCTCCAACAGAGTCACCAGATGAAGGCTGCATAGGTTAGTGTGCACAACTCGCTAAGTTGTATTTCTTCTCTTCCTTGAACTTTATGTGATTTTGTTCTCTTCTAGTTAACAGATTGTCCACTCTTAAAAACTTTTCTATTTTCAGCAATTGATTTCCACATGCCTCCAATTTGTTCTCCAACTGTTAGGCCTGGCAGGCCCGCTGATGCAGCACCGGTTGTGTCAAAGCAGCTATCTGACACTATTTTAAGGCAAGTGAATTGTCAGTCTAGTTGTTTTTCATTTCTCAGTTCTACCTAAAGTTTCTTTAGTTGAACTTCTCAGTGATATCAGTTTTCTTTTGAATGATCTGTTCATATTAATATAAGAGGTGGGTTACTTGTGTGTCAATTCCTATTGCTTGTAGGAGTGCTTCTATTTTATCAGTTCATCCAAGTCTCATCTCTTAGTGTCCATTACTTGAGTACTTAATGAATTCACCTGAGGCCATAATCTTATAGAGTACTAAGCGATTGTTACCTTACGAAAGTAGTTCTACTGTTGAGGATCCCAAATAACAATTTTAAAAGGAATATTGGATGTTGAAATCAACTTGTCTATACTGGCTTTAGTTGAATTGATTTTTGTGCTTGAATTCAGAACATTTTATGCTGGTATCAGTATCCTATTTACGGTTAAAATATCTGATGCTTCATTTGATATTTTCATTTGGGAATTTACCAGTTGTCTTCGTTTGTTGCAGTTCTGGCATGGTTAATTTGAAGGAGCTATCCTTAATCAGTGGAAAAGCTGCTTGGATGGCCTACTTGGTATTTACTTTGAAACCTGGAAAATCATAGTCGTCAATTATTATGGCTTTTTTTTTTTGTCATTGTAGGATATATATTATGAAGTAATGTCTGATTTGTCTCATGCAGGACATATATTGTTTGGATGCTGATGGTGCTCTTTTCGATGCAGCTTTGCTGTCAGCAGTTGCTGCCTTTTCTCACTGTAAGTGTTACAACCATCTCATCATTTGGTATTCTGTACAATCCCTGTGTAATGTGCTGGCTACATAAAACAGCATATGGGATCACTTAGTTGCCCGACCTACTCCAGATATGCACTCTAGAGCAAGTATATTATTCAAATTGTGTACTATTGTACCCGACTAAATGTATGAAAATGTATGCATGGAAGAAAGAAGGAAAAGATATATATTTAAAAAGCTGGAACTTAACCAAATTCTGGTGAAGCTTATGTTGTTTGTCCATTAATATATAAAACTACAATTGATTTGTAGGGTAGATGAATCCAACTTGTACACATCTTGTGTTCTCCTATATTTAATTCAAGTTTTATTTGAAACTGTACCCATAGTTTGGTTGGATTTTCCCTACTATGCCATTTCATTTTGACATTTATACTGCTGTCAAAAGGATGGGTACCCTCACGGTATTCTCGACACAGAAGTTTAAGTTCGGGGGGTTTTAGGAAAGGAAATTATGCAAATGGAAGTACAAATGAGCAAAGAGGTGACATTGCTGAGTGATGCAATTGGGATGGGATGAAATGATGGGATTCCAGTCTTTGTAAAATCATTTAGTTGAGCAAAATACAAATGCATAAAATTGTAGCATAGGATTAGAGTGCAGTCATTTCTGCTGTGGGTGTTATGCTTAGAATTATAATTTCAATGCTGAAATTGTGTTGTGCTGCAGCATCTTTGTCTTATTACTTCCATGCCTTGCAGTGCAGATTCCGGTAGTTTCGATGAATGATGAAGGAAAAGTAGTAGTTATGTTTGAGGAACAAGGTGGGAAGGAGGCAGTCAATAACGGGAAGAGGAAACTCACACTAAGCAGTATTCCATTTTCATTGACGTGCATACTTCATAAGAAATACATCTTGGCTGACCCTACAGCAGAGGAAGAGTCCATCATGGAAACTCTTGTAACTGTGGTTTTGGATTCATCCGGTCAACTTGTGTCTCTTTACAAGCCCGGTGGACCAGTTCTTGCCTATACCTCAGTTATCCAGGTTAGTTACTTAGTGTTGACCCTAAAGTTATTAATTTGATGCTACCCCACAATTCAAACTTTGTAGGAGGTTACGATTACAATTCAAAATCTGTTACTGCATTCTATCTGCTCAACAGTGATAGCTGAAAGTAGAGAAAAAGTATATGTGAATGGATTGTCGTGTTCATGTTACATCCAAGGTTGTTAAAACTGATTTTGTCATCAAAATTTCACCCTTTTTGCTGTTTGAACCAATATTGTGAAACTTTGTAACCTCTGAAAACTGGAACTTCGAGGGAAAAAGGTTCTACTTTTCAAATGGTTTGCAACTTAATCAAAATGTTAGCAGTTCTGAAACTTGATTCCTTGTCCTGAAAACTATCTTGGTGAATTATAATTTATTTGTTCACATATTTGCACCAGTTTGTGAATATGCAGAAAGATGTTAGTGTAGCGGAGTAATAATTAACTAAGATTAAGTTTAATAAGAGATGGCCTGTCAAAAATACCTGTTAAGTCATGATCCAGATTCTTACAAGGAGTACTCTCTGTGGTTGCAGGACTGTGTTGCGCTGACTAGACAAAGAGCGAGGGAGCTTCAGGCGATTTTAGATGAAGCCATCTCTGGTATGGAGGTTGATTAGTTTCGTCCTTCATCGCCTAAGGGGTTTGTGTTATTGATTTGCAAATTCATCCTATCCTTATTTTGTGTTGGCATTGTGTTACCCTAGAGAAGGGTTTCTAAAAGGTAAAATCGTTAGTCAATTTTGGTTATTTTATATGTCGAACGGTTCTTCTGTTTTAGTTATATACCGCCGAAGTTTTAATTTTTGCATATTTAGAATGAATATTTTACTTGTCGATAATGTTTGTAAACAACTTAAACAACAATCTGACTTTAATTAAAAAAAAAACCTCATCATTCTAATTCATTCTCAATTCAATTCCTCTCAGTCTGATTACGGATTAGTAAACGAGTCATAAGTGTTTATCCCAGAGAGTGCTGTACGTCGTGTGTTTCTTCTTCTCTATATATCCGAGGGGCAAATAATGAAAAACAATCACAGATTTCGGCTTCTTTCAACAAAAGTTGAGCTTGTGTTGTCTGTCCGGCCCAATATT